CCAACCACCTCGTTACTTCTATAGAACTTCGGGTTTCATGACGCTTCTAATCCACGTGGCTGTAAAGGAAAACTATCAAATGCAAGCTGCGGCAAATAAGAGTGGCTTTGCATTTCTTACTAAATACACAGGCCATTCTACAGCATCAGCTGCCACTCAGTTTTCTCCACCTGCAGACTGAAAACTGACCAGTCCTGCCAATTCTCTTTTTTTTTAACTTTTGATAACTGGCCAGAGAGAAGCGAAATAAATGAGATTCAGGTCAATGACATGTGCTTCAGCTTGGGAAGCTTTCAAAATGCACAAGTGGTATGAACTGTAGAGGAAAACCCAAAGGGAAAAGAGAAAAGTAGAAAGGTAGTCATATGTTCAGGAAAGCAAGGAACAGAACTCTTTTCCCTTCAATGGGGGCACAGCAAGGAAGGCAGCGAACAGGAGGCAGAAGAGCAAATGCCTCCAAAATCACCTTGTTATGTTTTACGAAGGACTACACCACCCAAATATATGTTTTACTCCCAACTACTACAGATAGGTATCTCAACCAAAGGACTAAAAGAGGCATTTTTAAGGCACAGCCCGTGTGCCAAGGGTGCTTGCAGCAGTGCTGACAGGGGCTACACAATTAGCTCAGGTATAACCAATTACACCTCACCAAGAGAACCTGTGCAAGTTTCCAGGCAAACACGATATTGCGTGAATCACAACAGCTCAAGATGTTCCAAAGGGTTCAGAAAACACTGTGGTCTCTGGAAGAGCACGGACGCTGCTCGAAAGGCACAGTGAAACACTGGAAGTCTCAGAGCTACGCTCACCAAACGAGGTCAGTACACTGCAGTCACACTTACCTTCGCACAGTGAAGATCCTTGTGTTTTTTGAGCAGTTTATCCGCTTGCTGAATTGCCATTTTATTATTGCCATTATCGAGATAATCTGCACAAGAACAACATATATAGTATTATACCAGAACACAAAACCATTCTGGAAAGCTATCTGTAATTTTACTGTGGAGTATGTGCTGTTAGGCCACTAGTGCAAACTGCATTTTCCTTCTACAATCACTACTAAGCCAAACATTCAGGAAACTTGTCATTTTGTAGATGACGTATTCATCTCACTGTACAAGTTTTAGTCATTCAAACAAATAAGCTTTTGTCATTACTCCACCTAGATCATTACAGCAACAAAAGAGATGTATAATAGAGCAGGTTCTGCAGCAACAGCTCTTTGCTAGCAATGGAGCTTAGGCTCTTTGCTTCAGTAAAAGTAGAAATTAATTTGGCGTGCCTTTGGGAGAATTTTCAATGACTTTTAACAGGCAGCAGGTTAGAAACTATGCACTCACAATCTATCGAAGCATTGAGAAGAGCTACTGGTCCCTGGGATCCATACTTCAGGCAGAGCAAATCTGCCCCCTAACAGAGTATCACTATGTTTTCACCAGACCAGTTTTGAAGACTAGAATTTCCAAGGGGGATATCCCACAACCAAGTAAAACTTCAGCTGTAGAAAACCCCTGTCTCAAGACCATTTTCTCCTTTTTTCAGTTCAGTATTACTATTTTCAGCTTCACCTACAATGCATCACCATGCTACTAGACAATTACAAACACGCAATTTTAGATGAGAATGTGACCCCTATATGCTTCCCCTCCCTCAAAAACTAATACTTACTAATCAAAACCTTGGCAGAAAAGCTGAGCTGCACCTGACCTGCCAACAAGAAAGGGGCTGCTCACGCTGTTCTGGCCTCTCCCCTACCAAACTGCGAACAGAGCCGGTGCCAGTTAATTGAAATTACATTACACATCTTTTTCTCGTCAAGACTGCAGTTCTCATTATGAGAGAGAACTCTTTTACCAAGTAGAGAGGTGACCTTTAGTAATTCCTTGGTATATGGTACAAAGAGTGCATCTATACTAATGAGATTTATATTCGGCAGCTTTAACATTTGCTTCCACAGCCAAGTGCGTGCTGCAGATTTAGAGTAGAGCTAATTGGGCTCCTGAGACCACACAGACAAAGCCTCAAACGAGGCAGCCTGCCTACACTAACCAAAACAAGACGTTGCTGCCTAAAATATAGTTTGAAACTGTAATACGTTGTCTTTACATGGGTAGGATGGTCATTTTAACTTAATGAAAACCTGTGCAACCTTTAACATTAAAACTTAAGCACAGACTTCTCAGTGAAGAGGTTTCAAAACTGTGGAACAGAACATCCCAGTGATCTCTGTGTAAACCAGCAGAGACTTCTTGATTTAAGGATCTGTGCTCCACAGCTCACTTAGACATGAATTATCTGCCACACTGCACTGCCTGTCTTGGGTTGTTTAACAACTGTGCCGATAAGATCTCCACTTTAGGTCTCCTAAAGTAAATCAAACAAACCACAAACCTCTCTCAACTGCAGCAGAATAAAAAGATTGTATTTTGCTAACAAGTAAGTTTGTTGGAAGCCAAAGTAGCTGGCAACTTCCAAAGGAATTCAAGGTAAAGGAAAATAAACTGAAGCCTATGTTAGTTGTGAGTCTGCAGGTGGAGATGCTCAGTGCCTGGAAATAAAACACCTGAACTTTCATGTGAGGGGAGAACACATCAAGTCGAAAGACAAACATAGCTGTCAAGGAACTCCAACTAAACAAGGCACACAGTGCAAAGCCAAAAGCACTGTTTTAAGTCAAGAATCAGACCTTCAACCTCATGCCGCATGTCTCCGGTTTATGACTTCCGTGAAGTTCTGGATTTACCTCTTCAGGGACATACACTTTATTTTGGGTTCTGCAGCACCAGAGCCTGAATTCAAATCTTACACTGCACACAATCCTTTCGGGAACAAGCAGAAAGCAATTTTAAAGCTCTCTCCCTAATAGCTATACTCTCTGAAATGAATACAGCGAAATGCATCTCCAACATCATCTGCTCTGATATCAGCTGAATTTACCAAGCTTTTTCTTTTAAGAATGTTTAAGATGTTACACAGGTTATAACATAAATAATTGCACCTTAATAAAAACAGCAATCACAGCATGTACAGAAAACAAAGGAAAAAAACCTTAAAATTGTTACATAAACTGCACAGCTGCACATATAATTATGCAATGAACTTTATGACAGCTGTGTGTTTACACTTTTAATTAAACGAAACTCTCTTCCTCCATTTCACTGGAACCCATCATGGATGCAAGTCTGCACCGCTCCGTCGTCCTCGCTGCCGGAGCGGCAAAGGACATTCCCACAGCACGTCCATCCCCAAATGAGGGCAGCGCTCTGCATTTGCAGGGAGATATTTTTTTCTGGTGTCAAAAAAGTCACGAACACTTTCCAAAATCTCTATCCAGACTTCAATTTTAGGGAAGAAATGATACTGTAGCCTGGGGAACTGTTTTTCTTTTTCTCTATATTTGCATAAACAGAGACAAGCTTGTCAGCAACCTCTTAAGCAATCCCAATCGCATGTAATACCCTCGGAAATATTTGGGGACGGCTTCATACAAGTGATCTCTTAACAAGACTGTCTCCTTCTGACTACTTGTCTTCCAATTAATTTTCACAAGACCGTAATTAGCCGGTGCTACGGCACCTCCACATACAACTTCAAGCTTCCCGTGCCCGCTCGCGTTCCTTGTATGAATTAATCCATTTCTAACTTCTCTGCAGCAGAAAACAAACGCCGACCGAAGTTACCATAACGGAGAGAGAGA